ATCCTCCATCCCTCAGGTCTTACCTTCTCTGCAGACTGTGCTGTTCCAAAGAAGATGGGTATAAAAGCCAACCATACGATGCAGGTGGTGTACATAGTGAAGCCGATGGGCTTGGCCTCATTAAAGTTCTCGGGGACCCCGCGGGTCTTTATGGCGTAAACAGTACACGTCACCATCAGTAAGATACTGTAACCCAACGAGCAGATGATCTGCAGATCTGTGATGTCACACTTCAGCACGCCTCGAGCCAGATCTGGGTTGATGGTCTTCTGCTCTTCGTAGTCTATGATGATGTTGGGCGGATCCACCCCGAACCAGATCAACACGCCCAGCAGCTGCACGGAGATGAGACTGGAGGTGATCGCCAGCTGTGAGGTGGGGCTGATCAGCCTGGGTGCCGTCACCGACTTCTTCCCCTGTTCGAAGATTCGGTAGATGCGGTTAGTTTTGGTGAGGAGGGCGGCGTAGCTGATGCACATCCCCAGACCCAGAAAGATCCTTCTGAACGAGCACACGCCAACATCTGGCTTGGCGATCATGAGGAATGTGATGATGTAACACAGAAATATCCCGGTGAGGAGAACGTAACTCAGCTCCCGGCCCGATGCGCGGACTATCGGCGTGTCGTTGTACCGTATGAACGTAGCCATGACGAATAATGTAGCAATGATGCCGAGCATCGCCAGGAAAACTGGAATCACCGCCCAGGGCGAGTGCCACTCCAGCTTGATGATGGGGATGGGCTGGCAGGACGTGCGGTTGGCGTTGGGCCTCGTGTTGTAGGAGCAGAGTTTACAGGTGAACTCGTTGTACTGGTATTGGTAACCGTCGCAGGGCTCGCAGTGCCAGCAGCACGCCATGCCCTTCACCACCTTCTTCCTCTCGCCGGTTTTACAGGGCAGGCTGCAGACGGAGCTGGGGACGTCCTGCTCACCCAGAGGCCACTGCATGTCCTCGATCTGCAGAGACAACATGGACACAAACCAAGGTTCATTTATACGACAACCTGGGAATTAAAAAGTCTGGAGTTACCACATGTAAACGACGCAGAGAAAGAACAAAGACAGTGAAAGCTACATTAACACATTTACACCTGATGCAACATACGTGTGTTTACCTTTACATCTTTATTTAGTGTGTAGTTGTGTATATACATATAAACTACATATGTGGTTTAAAGCAGAAAGATTCGACTTTAGTGATTCAAGAACATGTTGTAGAAACATCTGGAACAGTGCAGCTGGAGAGATTACAGATGACATAGAGTTAAAGTATTTGAAGTATATTGAACTGTTCTGATTAGTCTGAGTATTTAAACATGATATGAATTTGTAAAGTGTGTCAGCCAACAGTTCCTCGTCCCGAAGCTCAGAGCTCGGAGCGCAGCCGCAGCCAAAGAGCCAGTTGTGCATTGATGCTGATTATTTTGACAGATAGCTGGTTTGTGTTTGAAGGATTTTAAAGGACCTGGAGGGATTTCAAAATGCTGCTGTGACCCAGAGGACGTCCTGAAACACAGTATCTACAAAGACCTGCATCGGTCTGTGGCTGCAGGAGCTTGAGGCTGCGCTCCAGAGAAAAGTCACAGATTGATCAGGATGTTATCGCCACTCTCTCCCCGGCTCCACGCAGGCCACCACCAAGCCAAGAAGATAACCTGCGATCTCTGAGGATAAAGGGCTGCACACAGTGAACAGCCTGACTCAGCCCAACGCTCCAGAATTCAGAACCTCAACAAAAACATTAACTCTGCACAGTCGACTGATCTTCCTCCGACAGGCCGGACGCCAACTCTGAAGAAGAGGAGAAGCATTTCCCCGCCCACTCTTTCAATTCAATTCAATTCAATTTTATTTATATAGCGCCAATTCATAATTTACATTATCTCAAGGCACTTTACATTTAAAGGTCAAGACCTTAAAACAATAGTAACATAGAGAAACCCAACAGTTCCCACAATGAGCAAGCACAGGCGACTGTGGAGGAAAAACTCCCTCATTAAAGGGAGACACCTCTGGCAGAACCAGGCTCAGTGTGGGCGGTCATCTGCCTCGACC